CACACACACACACACACACACACAAATAAATTTTTAAAAATAAATAAAATATATTCATTGTGAGTTATTTTTGAGACAGGGCTTTGCTAAATTTCCCAGACTGGCCTTGAACTTTGATCTGCCTACAGGTGCCCCTGCCCTTTTTGACACAGGTCTTGCTCTTATTGTCCAAGCTGGTATCAAACTCTGAGCTCAGGGAATCAATCCTGCCTTGTCTCCTGGGAAACTGGCCCACCAGTACTTGTCACTGTACCCACCTGTCAGCTTCCTGGCATTTCAGATACTCAGACCTGTAAGGCACCAGTGGCTGCTCAGTGCTCCCACAACTGTGCACAAAGCATCAGAGGAGGGAAGTGAGAACTTGACATGTGAGGGACGTCTTGGGACCTGGGGACCCAGTCCACCCACCTAAGGGAAGGGAGCGATGAGAGTTGCTGTTCTGAGAAGGTGTGATTAAGAGTCCCACTCTGGATCTGTAGAATAAGTGTTTGCCTGGCAAGCACAAGGGCCTGAGTTCAAACCCCAGTTCTGAAAAAAAAAAAAAAAAAGAGTCCCACTTTGAAAAAAAGAGGGCCGGGGAGATGGCTCAGTGGAATAAGCGCTTCTCTGGCAAGGACAAGAGCCTGAGTTCAATCCCTGGTTCCACAAAAAAAAAAAAAAAAAAAAAAAGAAAAGAAAAAGAGTCCCAGTCTGGAACTGGAAGGACCTGCACTGTGGGTGAAGATGGTTTTGAGTAGGATGTTACATCAACTATCTTGGTACTACCTGTCCTCTGACAAATGCAGACAATAATCTATACTCCTCAGGGTGGCTTCTAGAATTAAGGTTCGGCACCAAGAGCAGGCCAGCAGAGTCCACCACATAGGACATGCTCAACAACTGGTTGCTGTTGTGCGATCAAGTGACTTCAGATTCCCTGTCCTCTGGGCTTCAGGAACCCTGTGCTAAACAAGTCACTACACCACACATGGAGCATGCTCATCTTAGAGTACACCTATGAAAATACCTCCAAAAATTTCACTCCAGTGGACTTGGTCTTATCTGGGGACAATGACTTTACACTCAGGGCAGCTGGAAGGGAATGACCTCAAGATCTCTGTGGAGGGGCCGGGGAGATGGCTCAGTAGAATAAGCGCTTGCCTGGCAAGCACAAGGGCCTGAGTTCAATCCCTGGTTCCACATAAAAAAAAAAAAAAAAAAAAAAAAAAAAAAAAAAAAAAAAAGATCTCTGTGGAATTGAATCCCAGCTGCAAGAGGCCCTCACCCAGTCTGCCCTCGGGACAGCAGGTCACCTCCTGGCAAGCAGCTCTGTTAGCTGCTCTTTCCTTCTAAGCAAAAGCCTGTGTTACTGCCACCACTGGGCCTGCAGGGCCCCAGGGCCCACACCAACAAACGT